ATAATATAAATGTTTAAAAATAATTAAAAATTAAAATTTAGTATTTTAAGAAATTAAATAAACTTATTGGAAATAATTTTAATAAATAAATAACTGTTAATTTTATTTTAATTTATATATAATATTTAATATTAAAATAGCTTATAAAAACTTTTGAAGATAATGGAACAATCAAACAGAAAAACTAAAACTAAATTAAAAATAAGGTAAATTAAAATTTAATAACTAAACTTAAAGTATAAAATAAATAAATAAAATAAATAAAATATAAAATTTTCGCAATTTATAATATTTTAATATTAATTTAATTTTTTAACTTTTTTTTTTTTTTTTTTTTTTTTTTTTTTTTTTTTCATTATAAAATAATAGTAATATATATATATATATATATATTTGTTATTTTCAAAACTAATTTAAGAATGAAATAAAATTAAAAATAATTATTTATTATTAATAATAAATATTAAATTAAGTACATTGAAATGCATATATATTAATTTATTAATATTATAAATTATATTTAGAAGTTTTGCTAAGATTATATTGAATCAAACAAATTCACTTTTAAGTATTACAATTAACTTGAAAAATATTATTTATTAAATAAAGACAAAAATGAAAAAAGAAAATTAAAAAATAAAAAAAAAAAGAAAAAATAAAAATATAAATAAAATAATACTAGATAAATAAAAATTTAAATAAGAAAAAAAAAATGAAAAGATATTAATAAATAACTTTAAACAATTAATTTAAATAATGTAAAGTTTAATTATATAAAATTTAAGAAAAAATGTAATAATTTAGTAATATTAATAATTTAATAATATTAATAATAAAATTAATAATCCTAACCTATTGAAAAATTTTGCACTACAAAGATATAATAAAAAAGCAAGAAATGAAAGTTTAAAACAACAAGATCCGCATTGGTCCAGTGGCTAGGATTCCACGCTTTCACCGTGGCGGCCGGGGTTCGATTCCCCGATGCGGAATTACTTTTGATCTTTTTTTTTCTAGATTTTGATTAAATTAAATTAAAATTTAAATACATATATAGTATTTACTAATAAAATTAAAATCGATTATGATTAATTGCACTATTTACTATTTATATTATTTAGTTAATAATTTTAGCATAGTATATATCATTGATAACATTATTATCATATAATGATAATTTAGTATTGGTAGAAAAGAAAATTTCAATTAAAAATTATTAACTTGGACAGATGGCCGAGTTGGTCTAAGGCGTCACGTTAAGGCCGTGATCTATTCGTAGGCGTGGGTTCGAATCCCACTCTGTTCACTTTTTTACTAAATTTTGGTATCAATATTTCGTTCTTTTTTTTTTTTATTTTTATTTTTTTATTTCTATTAATACAAATAATAAATAATTTAATGGTAATGATAAATTAAGATATAAAAATGTTATATATTATTTATAATTTATATTTTATTTATTTTTTATTTAGTTATAATAAAATATATATGTAAGCAATTTTTAAAGTATTAGACGAAATTTTAAAAATTCTTAAATTAATAATAAAAGTTATGATAATCAAAATTAATAAATAACGAAAAATTAAAAATATAAATAAATATTTTAAAAAAAAATAATAAAAACAAAGACATAAAATAATAATAGTAATGTATTTAAGTTTTAATTACAATATAAAGAAATGCGTATATCAATATATAATTATATAATAAATATTTTAATTAAAATTCATAAATAATATTAATACTTATAAATACAATATAGAAAATAGTAATATTTTCAATTATAAAAAATTTATCTATTTTTATAGCTATTTATAATTCATGATATTATATTTATATGTAAACCTATTAATTAATTTAATAAAAATATTTTAATTAAATTTCTGAAAAAAATTTTTTTTTTTAATATAATATATAAATTTATAAATTAAAGTACTTAATTATAATTTTTTATTTAAAATATAAATATTTATTAATGATATTATTAAACCATTAAATTGTATCCATTTTATGATATATATTAAAATATATTCTTTAAAAATCTAGAGTTTTATGTTTAACATATAATAAGTATATTTTATATTGGTTCTCTGGCATAATTTTACAAGATCCTTCGATAGCTCAGTTGGTAGAGCGGTTGACTGTAGAATTATATAGTAATCAACATGTCACTGGTTCGACTCCGGTTCGAAGGATTTAAAATTTAGCGACCTTAGCTCAGCTGGGAGAGCGTTAGACTGAAGATCTAAAGGTCCCGTGTTCAAGCCACGGAGGTCGCATTTTTATTTAATTTTTTAAATTTTTAATTTTTATGCGTTTTCAGTATTTATTCATTTAATAGTACTTTTATATATATTTATTTATTTATTAAATTTATTAATATTAAAAATAATATGAAATTAAAAAAAAAAAAATTAAAGGTTAATATTATTATTAATTTTAATAATGTTTAATATTTTAATGAAAATTTATTATCAAAATTCAGATTTCTAATAATTATTAAATTAAAATTATTATCAAATTGTCAAGAAATTTTTTATATATAAATATGAAATTAGTAAAATAATTACTATTATTTAATGTTAATCTATATTGAATTTATACTTTTCAAACTTATATAAATAAAGTGATTTTGGCCGTTCTCGTATAGTGGTTTAGTATAAGTCGTTGTGGCCGACTCGACCCAGGTTCGAATCCTGGGAACGGCACTTTTTAGGTTTTTTCTTTTTTTTTGTTTCTTTAATGAATATGTCAAATAGAAATAGTTTAAAATATTTATTTACTTAATTATACAATTTTTAGATATATTATTTATTATAGAATATATAGAATACATAAAATATATAATATATATAATATATATAATATATATAATATATATAATATATATAATATATTATTTATTATGTGAAATTTAAGTATTAATTATTAACATTATTTATTTGCTTATTTTATATTAGACTTTTCTTTTATATAATTAATTAAAAATAAATACATTATTAAAAGTAATAAAAATTATAAAAATTAAATACAATCTTAAAAGTAATAAAAATTACAAAAATTAAATACAATCTTAAAAGTAATAAAAATTATAAAAATTACAATTTTAATTTATTTAGATAAAAAATTAAATAGATAAAAACAACTTATACCAAAATTAAATAATAAAAATAATAATAATATTAATAACAATTATAATAATATTTATAACAATAATAACAATAATAGTGATAGTAATAATAATAATGATAATATGAAAGTAATGATAATAATGATAATAATGATAATAATGATAATAATAACAATAATAATAATAATAAAATTATAAATTTACTTCGTACCACAAGTATAGACAACATAGAAATATTATCAAAGAAGGGGAATTAGCTCAAATGGTAGAGCGCTCGCTTAGCATGCGAGAGGCACCGGGATCGACGCCCGGATTCTCCATTTTGAACCTTATTTTTTTTATTTAAATTAATAATTATAGGTTAGTAAAATATAAAATAAATTATTTTATTCATTTTAATATAATGGTATAATAATTTACTACGTAAAAGACAACATTTAATAATTATTTTACTTTAATAAATAATATAGTCAATAGCAATACAATATTTTTATTTTTTATTTTTTATTTTTATTTTTATTTTTATTTTTATTTTTATTTTTATTTTTAATATTAATATTTTTTTATTTTTTTTATATTTTTTATATTTTTATATAAATCTTTTTTATCTCATAAAATACAACGAATAATAATAAATTATTTATTAATTCAATGATAAATATATTTAATTTAAAAAAAAAAAAAAAAAAAAAAAAAAAAAAAAAAAAAAAAAAAAAAAAAAAAAAAAAAAAAATTATGCTAATTTAGTGCTTTAAATTGTAAAAAATTAATAAATACAATATTATTTTATGAAAATAATAAAAAAGAAACGCTCCTAGGTGGGCTTGAACCACCAACCTCTCGGTTAACAGCCGAACGCGCTAGCCAATTGCGCCATAAGAGCTACGCCCTATGGGGGGCTCGAACCCCCGACCTTGCGGTTAAAAGCCGCACGCTCTACCAACTGAGCTAACAGGGCTACGCTTTCTGGCTTTGTTTTTTCCTGCTTTAAATTTTTTTTTTTTTTTTTTTTTTTTTTTTTTTTTTTTCGTTATATTACTTAATAATTTTTGGAAATTCTTATGATAAAAAAAAATTTTATATATATATATTATTTATTATTTTTTGTTTTTAAATTTTCTTAAATAAGAAAATATATTAATTTATTTAAATATATTGTTTAAGTTTAAAATTTGATAATTCATAATAATTAATATCTATTTTAAGATATTAGTAAATTTTAATATCAAAATAAATATTAATATCAAAATAAATATTAATATTAAAATAAACATTAGACAAATTAATTTTAAATTAAAAATAATTCATTGTATTAAAATTTTAAATGTTATAAAATTATAGTTATCATATTAAATATTTTCAATTAATAACAATATACAATTTATTTATTTAATATTTCATTAATATATATATATTTATATATAATAAGAAAAATATTATATATATATGTAATTTATAAAAATAAAAATATATATATTATATAGTTCAAATTTAAAATTTAATTTATGAAACTAGTGGTTAGTCATAACTTATTATTTATTATATATATAAATATTGATTTATCATTAAAACATATATATATATTAAAAAGTAGTTTAATTAAAATATATATTATATATATATATTAAAAGTAGTTTAATTAAAATATATATTATATATATATATTAAAAGTAGTTTAATTAAAATATATATATATATATATATATACATTAAAAAGTAGTTTAATTAAAATATTTATATATACTTAGGCTATTTGATTAAAAGAATACTACCAAAAAATATCGCCCAACGTGGGGGTCGAACCCACAACCTTGAGATTAAGAGTCTCACGCTCTACCGATTGAGCTAGCCGGGCAATTTTACATTCAGTTGCTCTGTGCAGGGGTCGAACCTGCGACCATTGGCGTTATTAGCACCACGCTCTAACCGACTGAGCTAACAGAGCTTGCCTATGATTAAAATTAAGAATAAATCTTGTACTACTAAAAATCAAATGGTTATAAAATAATTTTTGTTTTTATGTAGTATTTATGAAAAAAATTTTTAAAAATAAATTTATAAATAATTATGGA